CACAAGTGTCTGTCCTGGCAGGGCAGGTCTGAGCCAAGCAACAGCAATTTCAGAAGGGCAGCACAAGTCCTGGCTCTGGAGCACTGACCTGCTCCCTCCCTGCCCACCGGGCACCAAAATGAGTCTGATGTGCACAGGTAGCATGAACAGAGCAGTCCCAGCTCCCTTAGCCTAGCACTAAGGTGAGGAAGATACATCTTTTCCATGAGAATTCTGCACAATCTATGAAGACCCTGATATGAGAACAACTTCTATACTCTTAACCCATGAGAAGTGTATACTTACTATCACACACCACATTTCATTTCACAAATCATTAGGTATACAGACACCAAGAAGGTCCTAGTTCAGCAACAGTACAAGGCATGACAGGAGGACTGAGACACAGGGATCCAGACTAGGATTAAGTCTCAGGACTGCCCTCGGGGGAAAAACTCCCCACTCCTCCATCACTGGGAAGCAAATGTTCATAAAAGCTGCCAGGGCAACTCACCTAGCAACCTAAAAAGATACCTCCTACTGTGCCAACCTCAGTAAGGATGTGCACATCGCCAAGCAGAATCTCCTTACTTCCCAAGAAAAAAACAGACCACTTTTGGAACACCTCACCTATTTTACTCGCCAGGAAAGCAGGGGAGCAATGGACTTACTGAGAGTAAGTGTTGACTATTATGCAGTCCATTTGCAAAAAGAAACAGTATCAGCCACATATGAAGGCCAACTCTATTGTAGTTTCATTATTAGAGAAATTTTGCTGAATTAAACACACATATGTGAATCCATACTGATAGGTAAATCTAAGTTTTAATCTATCTTTTTAACCATCCTTCTAGTAACAGTTGATGAAGATATTTAACAATCTGGATAAATATAATCATTATTTAAGACAGCAATTGACTGTTTTAAAACAAACAAACAAAATATTATTACTTGGTAAATTTTTTCCATAAAACTCTATCCAGGATGATTAAGTCATAGAGTGGAAGGTTAAGACAACATAGAGAAATTCTACCTTTCCATTACTGAAAAGGTTTGCATTTGTGAAATGAATCAAGTTTGATAACCTCATAGCAAAATTTATGTAAGAGACTTCCACATAATTCACATCACAGGATCATTTCTTCTGATCTGAGTTTTTGCTGCATTTATCATCGCGGGAAAACAGGGTGAAGTATGAAACATTATTCTCTATACAACAATCTTTCCTTTGCAAACAGATAGAATTTAAAAAAAAAATGAAATTATTTTAACACCTAGTTTTAACACCTCTCTATGGTTTGCAAACAGATTTCCAAATTCAACAATACAATTATTTCTGGAACACTTGACAATTTTCCTAAATATCTAGTTCTATTAAGTCATTCTCTAACAGTTATATGACTTCAGATGTAAAGCACTCACAATTCATGCACTGCCAGAAGGATGTTAAGTGGGCCTTCAAGTATACAAAACAATGTCCAGAAATAATTTTTTTGCACTAAGCAAAACAGTTACTTTTTTAACATGTTAATAGCATAACACTCAATGAAGAAGATTTTAAATACAGGTAATAATATGTTTCTAAGAACAGTTCAGGCAAACAAGTGCCTTTTAAGTCAGTTTTTGGCATACTTGTGCTTCAAAGTAATCAAAAACTTTTGATAATTTCTTCCCATCACAGACAGAAAAGAAAACACCATACAGAGGAAATCACACAAAGACACCCAAGTCAAATTAATAAACTGAGAGTTGATAAGTTATTTTAGTAAACTCGGCGTGTTGCAAGTGTAACGATACTATACATGTAAAACCCACCTTATTTTGGTCCCCACACCACTGTCATAACTAATTATAGCAATACACCAGCATATGTGACAGACACCAAGTGGTAGCATATTCTCTGAGTATATATATTTCAGAAGATACTTTCCACTGTCCTAAGCCACAATATTAGCAGCTTTGGAAATAATCAGTTACCACTCCTGTACACTTTACTCCCTGATCATTCATATCAGCACATGTGCACTTACAGGTTGTGGACAATCAGGTAGCAACACAGTTAAATGCACTTTAAAAACTGCTGTCATCCTGAATGCAATGAATGTAATTATTTCAGTTCTTCGTGATACAGAAAGTATTTCTAAAAACAGTAACGTGAAAGCATCTGTGCAAAATAAACTACTTGGGGAAAATTATGTACTTTTGGAAAAACAATAGAGGCATTGGAAAATATACAATGTATAAGTGGCACTGCTGATAATGTGACAGCAAAAGAAAAACAAACAAACCTGTTGTAGTATTCACTGCAGCACACACAGGGGAAAAAAAAAGTCTCTCTCACAGCTAGCTAGCTACATGCACGCAAGAAAGAGGGTCAGAAAAATGAGATCATTATTCCTGAATGCCTCCTGAATGTATTGGTAATTGTAGCTGGCTCGTTGTATGTTTGTATAGGGAATTATTCCCTTTGTGAACGGGATGAATGGGAGACATCTCCAGGGGGCAAGGAAGACGACTAGAGAAGCAAAAAATTCCAATTACATCCATGACACAACAGGCTCTTCAAAAAAAAATCGCCAAGTGTTTCATGGCTTTACAGAGAGAAAGAAAAACTCGCTTCACTGTCTAAGTACCCCTTGAAAAATTACGTAGTTGGACTTTTGATATTTCCATTCCTTACACAAATAAATATTTGAGAAGTATTTAATCTAAATTCAGTGACACAACAGAAGGAATGGCACAGATTTGAACAGGCCCTGGAGGAAGCCCCCAGGGAACAGAGGTTAGTCTGCTTTACACAGATGGCTGTAAGTTGACTCTTTCACATCAGGTGCTAATTCAAACAGATCCAACTTCCATTAAAAATACTACTGTGACTATTTACTAACCACCACGTCACCCAGCACACAGTAACATACCCTTAAAAATAAAATTAGTAACAAAAATACTCAAGGGGAAGTGAACAGGTCATATGTTGAATTCATTAAAAAAATTAATTATATACTCCTCATCAAAATGCCCTCCTATGAAATTTCAGACTGGGGTTGAGAAGCGATCAAGTATGCTCTGCGCTTCACTCAAAAACCCTGAAAGGTTGCCATTTTGAAGACAAAATTAGGAATAAGAGAGATATTCCAGTAATAAATAACTTACAAATCTTTATCTACCACCCTGTAAATACAGATTAGGCTACCAAAACCAGGAAAATATATTCAAACTAATAAAACATCTCTCAAATATAATTTACAAGCCATCCCTGGAATTTTTTACCAAATAACTAATTAATTCCCTAAATTGAATATAAAATATACAAACAGAAAGTCTCTACAGCCCCAGATCATCCCAATCCCACTCAAGTCACATCCTTAAAGTGAGCTTCCCGTCAGTTGAACCCCAGCAGACTAAAAGAAGGAAATGCACTGCTCAGTCTTACAGGAAATTAGGGTCAGAAAACAGGTAAATCATCTGCCAGAACAACAAAAACGCTGCTCTCGTAGAAACAAATAACGATCATCACATCCCAAATGAACCAAAGCTTGAACTACCTTTAATATACTTCAAAAAATTCAAAGCTTCAGGATCAGAAAAATTTAGAAGAACCTTTATGCATGCAATTTTTCAGGAAGCCTGCAAGCATTCTTAGTATAACATGTTTTAAAAGCATACAGATCTCACTCCTGACCTGTTCTAGTTAAACAGGTAACTCATAAGCAGGCTGTCAACTTAAGGCTATTTTTTTGTTTTGTGATCTGGTCTCCGCAGATGGTGGCATTTTGCAAGAGATACTGGAACACAGACAACAATGGATTGTTTGAAATTAAACACAGCCCCAATTTCAGGAAAGAATTAAGTTGGGGCCTTGAAATGCTTAATCTCAAGGAAATACAGACTTTACGAGTAAACAGATGTTTAAACAAATCCTTAGTCACTGATGGAAGATGTCAGAGATACCAAGAGAGTTATCTTAAGGAGCAAATGTGTTTTAAAAAATAATAGAAAAAAACCAAAACAAAATACCTAAGCATGCCTTAGTGACACGTTTTTCTTTTCCCTGCTGCAGACTTCATCATTTAGCTGGAGTTTACTGGTTTTGGCTTTCATTATTGGCATTTGTAAGCCACTTATACATTTGAAATGTCATATGTTAATAAAATTTTTACACCAAAGTGAAATAGTCACTTGTTAAATCTGAAAATATAAAACACTTATTCCAGGCTGGGAGAGAGGTTTCTTAAAACAGCACATCTCCAGGCTTGCACAGAACCTCCTGATTAAGTAAGACTTTATGGTATTTGACATAGGAAGTGTTTCTTGGTATGAGGAATACAGAATACCGGATACAGTCAGTGTGCATAGAGAGCTTTTTGGCTGTTCAAAAGCATTAATCTGAAATGATAAAACTTGAATGTTTCCTAAAGTATATTCATATTCTTGAAATCTACAGCAATAGAAAACCCAGAGTTGACAGACCTGTTATTTATGGTTTTTCATGTAAGCAGAGTATACATTTTACCCTAATGGGAACAGACGTACAACTTTAGCAGTGACATTAAAATAAATTTAAATATCAACACTATTGTACTGCAATCAGACTTTTATGCATTAACAATATTAAGAAAAATTAATACAGCCAATACAAAAATTAAGGAAATTGAGATAAAATGAAGATGTAGAGAGCCTCAGACAATGGTGAGGGCTGTGAAAGACAGCATGTGGAAAAGAAGCATGTAACATCTCAGACAGTGCAGGTGAGAAAAGAGGAAAAAAAGATACAGTTTACAAAATAAATGTAGGTAATGTTGTTAAAGACAACAAGGCATTTTAGAACTTCTTGGAGTGAGAGGAGTCTTGGTTGGGGTGTTTTTCTTTCTCTTACAATTCACATCAGTCAAGAAAAGTTTCTTCTCTATTCTTTTAACTAGGACATCAGGAGGAGAACAGGGATGTGGTATTTGTATATATGTGGTGTAATATTTATTATAAAATGTATAAAGCTATGGCTAAGTAAAAAACTAAAGCTGAAGACAATTATGCATCTAGACCTGAAATGAGTAGTTGTTTCTAATTCTAGTATAAATAAATTCCATTATTAAAAACCAGCTCTTTTGAAACCTCCCAAGAACCACAAGTGAGACTCGCGCTGCAATGTTCACCCTCATGGACAGGGGTGAACTGCACACACCTTTACAGTAATCTGCGGGATCCTCTTGCTCCTCATCGTCGGACCCCAAAATCTCCTCCTCTGGCTCTGGCGGGGTGGGCTCCGGCAGGGGCGGAGGTGGGGGCGGGGGTGGAGGTGGAGGTGCAGAGGGAGCTTTCTGTTGAGGCTCTGGCCTGAAAACAGAAGAGAGACCACACTTGGTGAAGAGCTTCCTCACAGGGGTCACCCAGCCCTCCGGGGGGACGAAGAAATGCTTTGGGTTATATCAGTGAAACATCTCATGCTCTCACTGCCATCTTTCATATCCCCCGCCGGACCATAGGGAGGCGTGGACAGAGAGGCACCTGACCAAACCAAAAGCAGGTCTCAAGTGAATTTGGACTTATTCACTGGAACAGCTTGGAAAAGACACAAAAAGTTTACAACTGGATACTGACAAGCTTTTAAAACTCCTGACAAGCAAATGAGACGTTAGACCCATCTTCTCAAGCACAACTGAGAAGAAATACTTTTCAAAGAATATCAAGTTACTGAAAAGCTCCTGCCTGCTAGCTGAAGTAAGAAAAGACCTCACTAATACAGAGCAAGAAACAATCTTCAAGGGACACTGACCCAAACCTTAACGCACTTCTCTGCATCTGTAACTGCTGCCAAGGCTACAGAAAGCTGTATCAGTACACAAAGTACTGAAAACAGCTATTAGAAAGTAAGAGAAAAATCTTCCTAAGTAGCCTATGATGCACTCCCAGAACATATGCTTTAAGATGTCATATATACCATATGCTTTGAGATGTGCAAAATAAAAATCCCCACAGAAAACCAAACCACCAAGCCCAACACCACCAGCCAACAGATGTTCTTCTGTCTCGCAGCTCCAATTTAGAAAAAAACAACTGAAGAAGTGAAAGATATATTTTATATCCTACTCTGAGCAAGGTTGTACTTGGTATTTCTTAACACCTATAAACTACTTACATTTTGAAACTGAGTATTTTCAATACACTTAAGTCCAGGGTTGAAGTGTACCTGTCTGTCAAATAATTAAGAAAGACTTCTCCAAACAGATTGATGTTATGTTTTGTATTCATACTTCTTACAAATAAAAAATATATACTTGCCAAATACATTTGCAAAGTAACTTAAAGCATCTGTACCATCAAAAGCTGCTTACATTCACATCTACTTCAAATCTAACATGTCTGAAAAAGAGCATAACAACAGTATTCTGACAATCGTATGATTAAAAAAAAAACCAACAAAACAGAAATCTAATTTTTCAGCACCCAGAAAGAAGATTCAAATACTTCCTTGATCATGAGTAAAAACTGCATTTATGTTTATCCCACTCCTAAGTCCTGTTCTTCATAATTCTTCCTTTTTCTTTCTAAACACTGCAATTGTTCAAGACAGACAGACAGAGCATTTGGTGTCGAAGAGAACACAGTTGGTCATAAATAAATTCCACTGGCAACATTCCCCACCTGCACAGCAGCTGCTGTTATGCCTTTGTTTAATGGACATCACTGAAAGTTGTATGCACTCCAAATTTATGTGCCTGCTACCCCTCTCAGATAATAAAATTCTTCAGTCAATAAACAGATTTAAAAATTAGTATTTTGAACTAAGTTATGATGAGAAATCTAACCAAATAAATAAGTTTACATAATTTTTAACCACATAAAGCTTTGGACAGAATAGAAGAGAGAGAAGGGATCCATTTGTAGGATAAACAATAAATAAAACTGCACATGCTCCTGCTTAAATAAATTACGCTGGTTTTTTGCCTTCCTGTTGGGAGCTTGTTTGGCTCCCAACAAGCACCTTTATATGGTACAGAGCAAGCAAAGCAAACCACAAATGGAAGGTGCAGCAGATTCTCTGACCAGTTCTCTTACTACAAACTAGATTTCTGGCCCTCCAGCAGTCTGGTTTCATGGTGTCAGCAAGCTGACACCACCAGTGCCTGGTCTGATGTTGGCGGGAATCTTTACTCAAGTTATCATATAAGGACCTACAAACCCTAAAACCTGATCTGGTGGGCATAAGACCCTCTTGGATACCCAGATCAAGAACTAAGAACACTTAAAATTAAACAGCTGGACTCGATGACCTTCAAAGTCTTTTCCAGCCTAAATGATTCCATGAGCAAGAAGGAGAATGCACAGTAAAACAGCCTGCACTTCATCAGTATATCTGAAGGAATTGTGTGCCAGGAAACACAGTGTTTGGAGTCCTTGCTGTACCATTGTTTTACTTTATTCTGACCACAAGTATCCATGTTATTTTGGTCACATGAGATGGCACAACTACGGAAAAGGCCAGGATAGAGTAGGGTAACGCAGTACAGGGGTTGTAAGTTCAAAAATCTGTTAAAATAACAACTACTTGGCTCCATTTCTTCACACAATGAAAGCAATATTTCAAAGAGAATCAGAAGCATGTCTGGAATCGACATTCAAACATTTTATTATCCATTTTCAAATAAACATCAAGTCATACCAAGAATTTCCCTATGAGAGAGAAAGGAAGTGTGCAACACAAGATTTCTAAAAAAAAAAGCTAAATTTATTCTTAAGGAAATAGGTTAAGAAGACAGGGTTGCTTCTGAGCCTTTCTCAAGCTACTGTATTTGATTTTGGTTTGAAAAGGGTTGTTTTTTTCCTGTCTCCAATCCTAGTTGATTTTGGTATTCAGGAGTGTTTTCCAACTCTCCTTTGTGCACATCGGGAAGGAAGGAAAGATATTACCTTATTTCCTTCTGGAATTATTTATGATTTTTATCTGCAAAAAACAAAACACTGCTTTAAACTGAGGATTTGCCCTTTTTAGCTTTGTATGCACCTTTTGAAAAAATCAAGTATTAGTAGAGAAAGATGAGTGAAGGAAAGAAATGCTGCTGAGTTATATCAGCCTGATGCTAATTCTGCACTCTTGGCTTATTTTACTGGTTTTTTTCCTTCAGTTTAGGATTCTTAGCAAGAGATTCTTATTGTTCTTTCATTTTGTTTTCTGGGGGCTAAGTAAAGATCAAGTTTTCAAACACTTGGCTGCTTAATTTCTGTTTACAAATTGAATAACTCATCCTGGCATCACCAATGTTGCTCTTCTACCAATACACAGTTTCATAGTTTTAGGTAGGACATCAGTCATTGAGAGTACTCCAGTTTTGCCATTTCTTAGTGTCCCCTTTATTGAACTGCAAAGATAAGCTATGACAAATGCTTCAACAATGTCTTAATTTGCAGTTTATGGCATGAATACATATTTTATTCAGCTTAGATTTCATTTTTTCCCAGTATGGAGTTTATGAAAATGTGAATTATTTCTTCTTTTAAGTGGACTTCAAAACATCATTTATACTAAAAATCCAGCCATTAAGAAAGCTGTGAGTAATAAATATGTAACCTCCATTTCCCTGTCAGAAATGCAATTGTCAAATACTATCATAACACAAGCCATTCAACAGCTGTGTTATTTCAAGTTATTACTCTTTCTTATTCCTAAAATGTTATGTAATGATATGCATTAGGTAACACATGCATGCAGAGATAAATATTAAATTTGTTTTCCTTTCATTCTGAAGTAATCACTTGGTTCTCTGTGGTCTCCCACCATTAGGTTATTCATCATCATCCAAGCATAAACACTTAATTAATAGGAGAAGATGACACACCATTTCTAGACTCACAGTATTCTGCCAGCAGGTATGCAGAGAACTGACCATCTCCACAGGCTGCAATGACAAACCTTATAACTGTCTTGAAAGAAACATTACAAAAAATTAGCAAACAGTAACCAGCATGTTTTGTGTCTTTTAATTACTGCCTTTTCAACAGAAAAAATAAATTTACAGCAAAGTCCAACTAAAATACAATTAAATCCTATTTTTACCCTGCTCTTAGAGGGGATGCTTAGTGAAAAGAACAAAAGGAAAGTTGAAGCATTTCTCTTCTACAGTGAACTTGAAGCAAAATACGTCAAAACTCTGCATGGAGTCTTATAAAAAAATCAACTGCCCACTGTTATGAAACACAAAATTACTGACAACTTAATTTTACTGTTCTCCATCATCGACATGTGGCTTCATGTTACCACTGGGGAACAGCCAACAGTAAAAGCAATTTCCCTAACATTAAAACCTGGAAATTCTGGGAAAACTATACCAGGAGAAGTTCAGGAAGAACTGTTCAGTTTTTTTGTTCTAGATGTTGTTGGGATCATTTGCTATTCTTCTGTTCTGAAAAAGGTAAAACAAGAGTAGTAAGGGTGATTAAAATCACAAAATGCCTTCCATATGGGAAGCATCTGAACATACCAAAACTCTTCAGCCAGGAAAACAGACAGCAGAGAGCTACAAAATCTTGAGAGGCACAGAGAATGCAAATAGGAAATAGCTGTCCACTGCCTCTCCCCACACAGACTGAGCCAAGTTGACATAAAATAGAAAAAAAAAAATAGTCATGCAACAAGATGTTAAAAACTAAAGCCACTTTTTCTCCTTGGATATCGTGGATAAGAGAAGTCAGTTTCAAATAGGGCTCAGAAAAACTCATGGAAGAAGGATCAGCTCACAGCCAATGCAGAAACCCCTTGGACTCACAAAGCCCCTCAGCCTGAGACCACTGGATTTGGAAGAGCGTTCACCACGTGGGGGCCCAACCCTGTGCTCTTGCCCAGGCAACTGCTCCTGGCCAGAGGGAACACAGATGCACCTTGGGCCTGTGCTTGTGCAGACACTTCATCTTTAGACACTCTTTTCCTCAACAAAACCAAAACGGACTTTAGGCCTCTTTATCCAAAACTCACATAGACAAAAAATATGCTTTTATTATCAAGTAAGGATAAGGATGTATTGCAGGTTATTTGTTCTATACAAGAAGATTACCTGAAGAAATCCTCATGTTCCCCACGGGGAACAGGCAAGTAACAGCAGGAGTCCTTCTCTGTGAACACTGCACTGCACACATGGGGACTAATTTTAGGTAAACAGAGCTCTACCTCCAATGTAGGTAAAACCTGTAACTGATTCTTCTACCTTTAGGAAAACAGACTATGTCAAACCAAAAAAAATTGGGAGGGAGACAAAAATTGGTCAGATTAAGCTAGGAACTACCTCAATTAGAGGGGAAAACAAAACTTCCCTTAGGATTTTCAGATGAGCACAACCAGAGAC